GGCGAGTTGTGCCCGATTATGTTATGATAGGTGGTCGGTTGTGCCTAGTCGGGTGAGGTATTAGGTTGTGTTCGGCTGTGTTGTGTGATTGTTGCAATCTCTAGTTCAAGAAAGCTGGTTGTGTGTGTTGGGATTTTTATTTTGGTTGTTCCTGATTGTGTTTTGATAGTTTAGTTTTGTTGTGTGGTTTTGCCAAATTGTGTTGTGCTAATTTGACAGTGGGTTGTGTTCTTGGTAATTGTGAGTTAAGTTGCGTTCTCATTCTTCTGACACTGGTCGTGTTGCGTTGTTGGTGATCTTATGGGTTGTGCTTAGTTGTAATGGTTGGTTGTGATAGGTTATGTATTAAGTAGCAGGTTATGCCGAATTGTATTTTGGTGTATCGTGGAGTTTAGATACAAGTAGGGGTATTATGGTGTAGGTATATTCGTTAATTCTTGGTAGAGTCAATAATATAAATGTATTTGTGTACATTATTAGTATATGCAATAGGTTTGGTACACTGTACTGTACCTATTCATACACAGTGAGATCTCGTGTAAGAAGTACACATGGTATGATGGGCGTTAGCGTTGCGTTGTTCTTTGGTTCTGAAGAGATAGTTTCTCGTTGTTCATTGAATCTCAAAATCTCAGAATGTGGCAGTTTAGTTCGGCGCTCCTCTTTATATTATATTGCGCGGACGTTAGAGAACAAGCTTCCGGTTTTTGGGAATGCCTGTAAAGTGAATGGTTTGCTCGGAAATTTGTGTTTCTTGCCTGTTTTGTATATTTTATAGTTTCTGTTGTGGTGAGTCAGTTCAGATGAAGTTTGTTACATCTTATTAGTTAGGCTTAAAACTTAAACAATAAACCAACCACACCCAGACACAATTAACCAATACGCATACACCCTCCCGATAAAACACAAATATGGGAAAATCAAAATATTTGAAATTCGGACCATTAAACCCTACATTCAAGTTAATATCTCAACAACAAGATATGCCACCAACATAATACACACACCAACAGAAAGCTAAAGTATTAAACAAGCCACTTGAACCAACAAAAAAACAATTCACCCACCATAGACCCACCCTAGACACCACCAAACTCACACCAGCTAAACAAATCGAAAATACCGCAAAATGCGGAAAACACCAAAAACACGAACAAGTAAACAACTCTTCTCATACACACAATATGAACATAAAATATACCTGACCATGAAGCTAAAACAATGAACAAAACAACCAAATTAAATCTCAACATTGAACTGACCATACCCCAATACAATTAACCAATACGCATTACACCCATTCGATAAAAACCAAATACAAGAAAATCGAAATATTTTAAATACGGACCACTAAACGGTACATTGAAGTTAATATCTCAACAACAAGATATACTACCAACATAATATATATACCAACGGAAAGCTGAAACATTAAACAAATCACCTGAACCACCAAAAAGCAATTTACCCACCTTAGACCTACCATAGACACCGCCAAACGCACACCAACTCAACAAATTGAAAATACCGCAAAATGCCACAAAATACTACGGTACACGAACAAGCCAACAACCCTTTAAATACACACAATATCAACACATAACACACATGACCATATGGCTTAACCAAAAACCAAACCAAACTTTAACAATAAACTGACCACGCCCTTATGCAATAACCCAATACGCCTAAACACCCCCCCCCCCCCGCCAAAAACGAATAGGGAAATAGGGAAATTACAACTGAATGATAGATCTAAAACAGCATCCATTATTCACAATCAAATCACAAATAACATTCTTTCGGCCGCTGAGGAAGAACACTCATGGGATACCCCCATGAATTCGAAACATCTTGGGCCCTTATAATGACCAACATATAAGGGAGAAGATCCGCTATGGATCAAGATGTCCGGCCTCTCTCTACAATGAAGACAGGGAATAACACACCAATGTCATTACCCTAGGATCTACCAAATATACACTACCTGTGACATGAGTACTGACGGTGGTTAGGAGAAGCTTAGCTACCAGACTTTGTCTCCCAGCCCCCCCCCCCCCCCCCAGAACGGGACCTCTCACCATTAATACAGATAGCATGACATATATGCGTATTTACTACAGGTGATGTCTCAGGACATTGTCTAAGTCACCACTCCCAAAAACTAGGCTATAATTCACAAATGGGCCGGGTTATAATAACTAAGATTGGTAAAAAGTGCTTTCATTCTACAATATGCCCATGATCAATGGATACGACTCGGCAGTCCTAATTTTCATCAGTTGAGAGGATAAGATTCACATTTTGGACGACGAAAAGCTAAACCTGAACGCAGAAGAAGTGAGTAGCTCCCATGATGGCATCTCATTTCTTCTCAGCCCTGAGATATTTCAAGTGAAACAGAAAGATGCTATGAGTATCAGAATGGGATTCCCCTTAGCCATCCTATATGGCCATACAAGCCTTATATGGATCTATCACTTGATATTCAAAATAGCGGACAACGGTCAGTTTGATTCCTAGTATATGGTCATGTAAGCCGAATCGAATACGAAGGCTGAACTTCGGGAGATCTCCCCCCTGACCTGAACGTAAAGTGCGATGCGCGCGCAACAAATTATGTAAACTCTTTAAGTTCGACTCAGGGGGGGGGGAGATTTCCCAAAGAATGCCTATCATATTAGCACGTTCGAAAACAAATTTTATAAACAGGCCTCAATTTGACATTGAAATGGATCTCTAAATGTTTAATGTTGTTTTATGACTATTCTCTACAAGTATGGATCGAGTAACTTCAATAGTATTACCGAAGGTTTGAAATGATGATGTTGAACTGATGTAAACGCCATTCCCACGATTTCAAATTTAAATTTGCGCATGCGCAGCACTGAGAGAGCACGTGCTCATGATTGTCCACGTGATCGAATCCTGCAATTTGATTGGAGATGATGCAAGAGATGATGTAATGGGGAATCCCTGAATACGATAGAATATGAAAGAATTATGCGGGCTACTCACTCCTCCTGAGTTCGACTCGTTTTATAATCCCATCGACGTGTAGATTCAATGTAATTTCAATTGGGTTAGTTGGGTTTTAGTCTTGCGATGAACCTGTAACACGAGGGATTGTGAGTAAGGTTGAGATAACATATAACTTTCTAGTACTTATTTCACGGTCTCAATCATTTTATACGGCCATTGAGATGCGAAACTCTAGCTAGCAAAAGTATGTTTATATATGTTCTTAATTTGAAAGTAGCATATCTGTCGAATAGTTGAGTATGCATCTAAATTGCTCAAAATAAATCGTTTGTGGGTAAACTAGCCCCAGGAAAATGGCATATATTTCCTGAGATGATTACCATAGCCATTTTCAAATATATGCTAGCACCCCTAGTTTACATATATTGAGCTAATCCAATTATGTGATGTTACTAAACAGAACAAATCAGAAGGTCTACCGCAGCAAACGATATGATATGTTATAGATGAGCTTGTTAAATACGTTATTGCTCTTGATGTGAGATGTTGAGGACGGTGTTAATGCAATACCTGTACGTCATGATCTATAAATTAAATTCGTAAACTTAATATCAAAACTGCTTATATACGCCATGTTTTGAAAATGTTCGAAACTTTACTACGATATGATAGAAGCGCGTGATTAATATTGTATTGCCCTTGTGATATGTTGAGGTCGGTGTTAATGCAATTCGTTCATGGTATATCAATCAGAATAAGAATGGAGAGCTTTAAAGGTTAATGTCATCGAGCGTCCGGAATGGAGCTTCCTGAATACAAGCGTCGGGTTAAATAGCGTCCAGAATAGAGCGTCCTGATTGCAGAAAGCGACCGGTTAAATAGCGTCCAGAATAGAGCGTCCAGAATGGAGCGTCTGGAATAGAGCGTCTGGAATCGATAGCGTCCGGTTTAATAGTGAGCGTCCAGAATGGAGCGTCCGGAATAGAGCGTCTGGAATCGATAGCGTCCGGTTTAATAGTGGGCGTCTAGAATGGAGCGTCCTGAATAGATAGCGTTCGGTTTCAGAGCGTCCAGAATAGATAGCGTCGGGAATAGGTAAATAGCGTCTGGAATAGAACATTAGCGTCAGGAATGGAGAGCGTTCGCTTTTAGAGCGTCTGGAATAAAGAGCACACGAAATCGTACATTTTCGTGCACCTAAATAGCGAAATTATGTCTGTAAACTTTTGACACAGAATTTACACCATAAGCGTCGGGTTAAATAGCGTCCAGAATAGAGCGTCCTGATTGCAGAAAGCGACCGGTTAAATAGCGTCCAGAATAGAGCGTCCAGAATGGAGCGTCTGGAATAGAGCGTCTGGAATCGATAGCGTCCGGTTTAATAGTGAGCGTCCAGAATGGAGCGTCCGGAATAGAGCGTCTGGAATCGATAGCGTCCGGTTTAATAGTGGGCGTCTAGAATGGAGCGTCCTGAATAGATAGCGTTCGGTTTCAGAGCGTCCAGAATAGATAGCGTCGGGAATAGGTAAATAGCGTCTGGAATAGAACATTAGCGTCAGGAATGGAGAGCGTTCGCTTTTAGAGCGTCTGGAATAAAGAGCACACGAAATCGTACATTTTCGTGCACCTAAATAGCGAAATTATGTCTGTAAACTTTTGACACAGAATTTACACCATACAAAGATAGAGTGTTCGAGAATGACCTCAGTCATTCTGGTGGATTTGAAGCAACTAAAACCGTGTGAATCAAGATGGATACTTGCCGAGGAATAAAGTCAGGTCAGTGACAACTTGTGCAGGTTTGCCTACAGCGCAATGATGACCATACTTGACGCATACTGTTCAATGTGCTGTAACATTGTAATTATCAGTCTGTTGGTTATGAAATATGACAGACTTGTAGGAAATTGAATGATGTATATATGTGTCAAATATGCAGGGTTTCCGTGTTTGACCACCCTGCATAATGAATATAAGTCAACTAAAGTAAAAATTTATGTGACATGATACAAACTTACATCAGTATAGAGGTAATCCTTATTTGGTGCACCTCCAGCGAAAGCAGTAGCAGCAGCTGCCTCGCAAAGAGTAGGGTTCTTGGCGACAGTAGTCTGTGGGTTGCCCGCTTTGCTAACTGGAACGCAACATGTGACTGGGACATTGATTCCCTGGGTGGCGTTTCCTGAACTCTGCCGCCATTTACTGTTCTCAAAGTCCTTTGGTCCAGCTGATCCACAGCATTTGAACTAGAACAGAACATGCTCACCTAAAGATCATTCAAGTTTACTTAAATAGTTGGTGTTATGATAAAAGTGATTTATTCTTCTTTGCATTCGTCTACATGCTAACCATTGATATATTTATATGTAGCACTACGAATCTCACATTAATATGAATTCTTTTTTTTTTTTTTTTTTTTTTTTTTTATTCCTTTTTTATTCATAGAAAACATTTGAAAGCAGTTACATTAACATATACAATATTCATAATATCATAGAAATCACACAATTTTCCATCATATTCTTTTTTAAGGCATCTAACCACACTAGTCTAATCTAATCTAGTACCCATAATTTCCCACCTTTTTTCTCTGCCCATTTGCTTATCAATATTACAATAAGATATTACATTTGCTTTAAATCCTTTAAAGGTAGGTCTTAACATTGAGTATTTGCATAGGTACACATATCTTTTAAATATACTCCACATATTTGTCAGGATAATTGTTCTATCATTTATACATACTGGTCCTATTAAAATATTCTGTTTTGTACAAAGTCCTGTCAATTCCTCTGGTAACCAGTTTTTAATGACTACTATGAGTTCCATTATCACTTTACACTCATAGAGGAGATGACAAATTGACTCTTGTTCTACTTTACAAAAAGTACACAGATCTGATTCTGCTAATCCACACATTTTCAAGTATGTGTTGGTGGCCAAAAATCTATGAAGAATTTTAAAATTGAAAGAAGCTAATTTTGGTTCAAAATTGCTGACTTTATTGATTCTATTGATCATTTTCCAATCTTCTTTGTTAAGTAACAGATTCAGATCTTTATTCCAACCAGTGATGTACTTTATGTTTGTCTCTTCACTTTTTATAAGTTCCCAATATATAATTTTACTTATCTTACTTTGGCCCATGAACTTTTTTATGTGTTGTTTTTGTCTTTCAAAGTTATTTAAACTATCGCCGTTTTTCTTAATATCGCTCAACCACTGATTAGGAATTGTATTTCTGAGACTCAAATAATCAAGTGAAACTCGATGAAAAATTAAAATCGAGTTAATCAGCAATTATTGCTTTATTGAAAACACGCCTCCGTGTTTACATAATACACAACATTTTTACATATTTATCCAAGAGGGCAAACATCAGATTAGGTTATACCTCAGTTTGTAAAAAGTTCCAAGCGTATCCTATTCCATTGTCGAATTCATAGTCATTGGTGACCTGTCCCTTCAGAGCTCCACCAAGTTCTTTCTCGAGCTGAAATGGCATTGATATCATTAGCGAAATACAGTTCAACATTCAACCAAAAATCATGAATAACGGCAATTTAAAAGCAATCAAAACTAGAACTTGCAGTTCAAGCTAGAGAGAGTTGGGTCTGAAAAAACGTCAATGTTGTTCCAATAGATAGTCACTATGATTATATTCAATAAACCAACCAGATTGCTTATTTGATGTTCATAATAAGACAATTAACGTGAGTTTAAAAAGTCAATTAATGAATAAGTGTCTGAGAGTACATTTGTCGGACTAGAGTTGAGCGACCTAAATATTATTTAATGTATCTTTTTCACCAGTTGAATATGACACCCATAACTATACGACATAAAGTTATCAATTCTCATTCGAATCATATAATTTATCATATATAAAATAAAACAGTTCAAACATACCGTGTTCCTATGTACATATGCGAATACTCCAACTGCTATCTCTGCTATAATAATGATCACCATCAGGGTGATATACTGGAAGTAAATATGCACAGTGATGTTTTCAATTATTGACTACTTAACAGAAGACTTGATTATTTTTACGGGGACTGCTTTTTTATTCTTAATATCAATATAAAGATTGATATGAAATGATTTGGTTCAAAAATAATCTTAATGATTAATACTTTCTTCATTTTGACATTATTGTCTCAAAATTCATGAACTCGCTTTCCTCCCTTATGCTGTTGATACCCACTCGTCCGATTGTTACACAACACCACCTTGCATCAAGTCGTCTTATCTTTGAAACCACCAGAAGAGATGAGATATATAGATAGGGATTAGCAAAGGACACGGTGTAAGATTAAAGGTGGACATTTTGATAAGAAAGTGATGACATAGGCAGAGCTTGTTTTTGGATGACTGTTAATTATTAAACAATATCTACATATCTCAGACTGGTGTAAAACTATATAGGAAATGTTTGAAGTGGAAATTATTAACACAAATATTAAAAAATTATATCTTACAATGGCGAGCAAGCATATGCTTTCTTGGCAGGCACCACAACAGCCAGAGAATCCGATAAGGAAGATGAGAGCGCCAAGCACAATCATGACGATGGCGATAATATCTAAATAAGGACCTGGCAGGAGTTTGTTGATGTTCTCTACAAGGTTTTTGTCAACCTTAAGCCAGATTCCTACCCCTAGAATAGCTGCTCCTATAAGCTGAAAGCAAATAAGATTTGAAGTTAGAAATTCATTGATCTTGCACGAGAATATTTTCATTGAATTTCAAATGGCGTGAAAGGGATCCCATTGATGGTAAAAGATAATGGGAACAGCATGAAAAAGCAGCCAATACTGTGTTTTGTTTAATCATTTAATTTGCCTATTGCCGAATTTCTGCCAGGTTCGTAAAATTAAATGTCGGGAATATTATATTCATAATGTTATCATATGGAAAGTTACTTTTCATTGGGAAGTTAAAATTAGAATGATAAACCACCAAAATTCTCTTCAATTTGAGATTGACACTGACTTGCACTGCATCGTCAAAAAACACAAAGCTATGTTAATATCAACCACACAGAAGACAAACATGACACTACGACAGTACGAACACATACATGTAGATATAATTTTGGAAGTCACGATTATTAATTCAATTTGGATCGGAGAAGTATCATAAACAGATAATAAATTTAATATATGAATTAGAGAAGTACCTAAAATAGATTACTTGGTACGCTTGGATATACATGTATTGGATATCAAATGCTTTTGCATTTACTTTCCGGGTTCCATACATTTAGTTTGTGACCTATTTGGGCGTATTGCTTAAATACAGTTTTTGGGGCAGGAAGGTATGACTATTAACTGGAACAATATCTTTTAAAATTTCTGTTTCGGTTCTGTTGGTTTGGGAATTCTTGACGTTTGTCACACATTGACCAAAAACCAACACCCTACATTATCACACATTTGCGTAAATATACAATGATAGTGAATTAACAGTCGGTATCATAATGTAAACAAAGACTTGTCATCCGTTGTAGCTACATGTAGTTTATATTAGATAAGTCCTTCGTGAAACAAATACAGGCAGGTCCAAAGAGCGCAATATTTAATTCTCACACAAATGTGACTCATAAACCACCAATATTCTGGCAACCAATTTTGATTAAATTATTTAATTTTCAAAAAATTCGTATGTAACCATGAATTGCTAAAATGGAGAAGATCAAGGACCATTATAAATCACAGTTAGGGAAAAGAATATCTAAACGCACGACCATTCATAAGTGAAACAAACCCCAACGATCCCAAGCTATGATCTAAGGCATAAAATCAATATGTCTACCCCCTCACTCTTTTATTATCCAAGTAGTATTACCACAAAACACAACCATAAAAACTATTAGATATCGTTGACATTGAAAACATTTGTATATAAATTAAGGAAATCATCATTTAACAAAAGAATTGCATCAAAGGAACTTCATGGATAGTTCTACTTCTGCAATTACATGTTTACCCAATAGTCTCTCAGAGGATGTTGACTAATGACTTGAATTACCCTAATTGGATTTGTGCTATTGTGGGAGGTCGAACACCAATGCTGTTTCATGTCATTGGTATTTTTTATTTGCCAAAATAATTAACTGTTGTAGGGGCAACAGCGCTGGTTCGGTAGTTAATCCAGAGTCATTTGCACTTTCGCGCTGAGCGGGATTTGATAGTTACAAAACCCTAATTCTATCAAATGAAAATTCAAAGGACTCATCAAATGAGACATCACGAAGTGGATGATAAATTGTAAGGCCAATAATATGAATGAAGAGAAAGACCAGGGTATACAAAATAAATATTTGATGCACAACTGGTAGGGCAAAAGTAAATAAATAAAATGTAAACGAACACAATAAATAACCTACAAAATCCATCTACTTAAATCATATCTTAAGTACCAAAACAAAGTAAATGTTTAAAATAATGCAGTTTATAGGCGCAGAAGTAAATACAGAACAAGCATGCGTGTGAGCTAGGTTAAACCTCACGTTTTAAACAGATCCCATGGCTCACTTTTCCCATCTATTTTTTTACGAGGACATAATTACAACCATTTCCCTTACTCAATCAGGTATATTGAAACTACAAGGAAAGGATCTAATCTCCAGACGACCATAATTTTAAACGTTCACGTACAGGTGTAACTTAACTGCCTTATCGATATAATGTCAATGCAGAATGTAAACAATTGAAACATACCCAAAATACGACATTGAAGATAAAGAGTAAAAGTTTGATGATTCCTCCACAACATCCCACTCCTCCTTCGCCTTTACCCTCTCCTTTACCTGATCCCTTGCCCATCTTTGATCTGAAAAGAAAATAATATCAACTATAATATTAGATAATTGGAGGCTCACAAAGGAGAGTAGGTCAAATCCCCAGCAACCAAAAACATCGATCTTATATGTTCAAATGAAATTGACATCTAAAGGATGTCGTTGTCTATGCAACTTATCAAACAGTATACAGTACATACAGGAGCCGTACATCATACAAAGAATAGAAGGCCTGAGTGCCAGTAGAACAACCTCTTAAGTGCTTATAAATTCATAATAATACGTGTTTATTATACTCAACTTATTATAAATTATGTAATTTTTAAATGTTTTTTGATGATAGGGAAAAAGAAAGAACGGGAGTTGCTAACCTAAGAACGGATGGACTAATATCTGCTTCATTTTTTCGTTATTGTTTTGGGCGCTACGCATATAGCAACGTTTTCGAATGAATAGGCCAAATATAGAACATCCTTCTGCTCAATTAAACCCATGTTTAAACATTATTTTAAAACCTTAGTTTAGTATTGATGCTTAATGATATATTAAAATTGGGATGGTTTAAAAAGTAGTTTTTTCGATTATTTATATCGGTGTATCAAAAATGAGACTATTTATGTAACTGAATGTTTGTTTTTGGTTGATATATTCCTGATGATGAAAGGCCAAAAGAGGATAAAGGGCCAAAATATTATTGAAATTCTAATGTTAACAAGTATTCAACTAAACATTATATAAATATTCAAATAAAATAAAAATAACTTACCTTATTTAGAAAAATATATGAGAATTGCTGCTATGTCCTATTTCCTATTGTTAAAGTTTTGTCACTGGGGTTTGGTCTCGCCCTATTTCAGATAGGAATATGATAATGGATAACTAGTCACCTTTAATAAGTAGCTATAAATATGATTATGAATCAAAATCCATTGTTATCATTGTCATGTATTTGCATATTGTGGGTTTGAAGGATTAAGATTGCGTTTCCATGGGCCTCCTAAAAGCCAAATAAATATGTCTTATCGTGGGTGAAGGACCGTCTTTACTTCACATATGTATACGTACATGTACAAACTTAGTTGTCATTCTATTATATAAATAAACTTTTGATTTCTAGAAAGTAAAGGACAAATATGTCGTTTCCTCATTGAATACTCATCGTTATGCTTTCTGATTGACTTCATAATTAATGCTTGTGGGTCACATTCTCCAGAAGGGACCAGTCGTGTTTGATTGGGTCAAATTTGAACATAAATTTCACATAAAACCTTACCGATGCCATCATTCCGCAATTAATTTTTAGCTTTCTGTGATTTCGACAATTGCATGAATGGAAATGAATGGAAAATCGAACCTAAATCTCCTTAGAATTTATTCAAGTGTTTTACATTAGGATTTTGGTTTTGTTGACTTGTTCTATTGATCACACTACTAAAGACGTGCTTTCGGTTGCAAAAAATGCCGAACTCACGTATGTTTAAATAAGTCTGTGTTCAATATAATCACAACTGTTCCTGAAAATGATTTAATCGATTCGCATACATTATCAATCGCATATCCTAGCATACGCAAAGCTTAACATGGAGAATTGTTATCGTTTTCTGGTCCAAGTTACATAACAGTACAGCACCTTTTATATCAACGATAAGTATAACAATCAGCGTTTCTACAGTAACAATATCTCAGTTGCTAAGATACAGTTTGACTCAAACAGTATTTAAAGTATGCTAATAAGATTCAGTAGATGTGTAACTGTGAATCATTGCATTGCAGCCTACATAGATATAAGGATATATTGGTCAAAATGATTATCAACATTAATTTAAGATATGGAATCTTTAGGGAGAATATTTATTTGGTGTTAGGGATACATGTATTCTTGGTATAAAAGGATTTAAAGTCATCCCCTCATTTATTATACCAAATAGATACTCACGGGTGTTTCTGGGTGATTCCTTCTTGTGCTCCTTCTTGTGCTCCTCGCCTATTTAGGTTTCCCAGGTATAGATAATATCATGATTTTAGTTGCACAGCCTGGTTTTCAGACCCCACAGTAGATTAACCATTTCGGGATTTTAGGGGGAGTACTTGTCTACTTTTTGTACGGGGGTGCCTCTGGGGTTTAGAATATGCACCTAGGTTTTTTATCCTTTAAAAATGGACCCACGGCTAGGTTTTTTCAAACAAAGATCGAATTCTAGGATTTAGTTTAGATTTTCCGTGAATTCGGGGATTTTCCCGGCAAAAATCGACACTGGGGTGTCAAAAATTGTCTAGTGAGATCATAAAATTGTCACTCACATCTAGGGATTCTAGGAATCGTCCCACATCCTAGGGGTTTTATTCCAAAAAGAGACCCACATGCCCGTAATATTTGATTTTGATTTTGTAAACGTTCTCCAACTATCCAACGACTTATCCATAATTATAACATTCAGATTATTTGCAATCGTCTTAGAATTTTCACGTCGTGCCATTAAGTGATGCAGGTATATTCATTAAGCTCTTAAATATTTGCGCCTTTGGTGACATGATTCAAGTTCAACCAACAAAAAATCGTAATGTTATATACTAATGTTAGTATCTATTATGTCATTGTAATATAATATGATAATGCATAATTTGTTTATGAAATCCGACCTCATAGGGAATAAAAGATACATACATGTACAAACATACATATCGGATTTTGGTGGAATACAAAGATAAATTATCTTTCAACTGCAAGGTGCAATTGTTGATCTTTTAGCATAATTTCAAACTTTCTATGATTCATTTACCAAAAGCAGCCAAATTCTTTGCTCACCACATGTTCCTCAATAAGGTACATGTAAACGACTCCATTCTAGCCTCATTCATAAATCTCTTGTGTATAACTGATTATTTTATTGTTTCAATTATTTACAATTGCATCCAATAATTTAACATAATTTCAATATTTTTACTGATTATATATTACATAAAGCAATAAGGAACCACAAAGATGTTTAGAAAATAGGCTCACAAAAGTACCTTGGCAGTAAATTAATTTTTTTGACTGCTGCTGCCATCTTTCCCTCGACAAATGCCTTTGATTAATCTGGTGATGAGTTTTAGTCCACAGCCGAAGATGGCTTAAGATCACCGAAGATCACCGAAGATCACCGAACATATTGTAACCTTTACCATAAACCCTAGCCTTAAGAAAAATCGGAATTTCACTTGGCCACATCTGGTTGCGGAGCATCGGTGCTCTTCCATAATTAATCGCATTCTCTCTCAGAGCTTATCTTGGAGATTCGAAAAAGAGCGCCATCTATACTCAGACTTGAAAACCCATCAATCGATGATGAATCGGATGAGGATGATGATGATGATTCGGATAAGGTTGTGAATACAACACTTTTAGCACAACCAAAACATTCCCCTATAGATTCGGCAACAAAGGAGTTTGCCACACCGCTCGGATAGAGGTTGTACTTCTCACAACCCTTCGTCATCACTAAGTAAGGGGTAACAGGATCAACTTCAATTTCGACCTCTTCGTCTCCTTTACCATAAGTTCCAATGTAGCTTTCAATGGGAGAGCTTGAGTTTTTTGTTTTGTCGATGCTATAATCGGGATATATGTTGAAAGGCCCGCAGAATGCACCGTATTTATCAGGGAGAGAGTATGTACAAGCATATTCGATATCATAGAGAGGAGAATTGCCTCGAAGGATGTCTGCGATATAAAATTGAATCAATGTCATCGCAGCGTGTGCCTCGAGTCTAACTGGTCCATTTATCGTTGTATAGATGCCAATGTTCCAGTATTCGAACATCGTCAGAAGGGTATTTTGGTCCGAGTAACCACCGTGTTGTATAAGATCAGTGTCTGAAATGAAAAAACAGGAATGGTAGGAATACAGGAATACTGCCTCCTCTAAAAGGATCTAATCACAACTATTTTTGTTATAGCTTTATACTTAATCGGGTAAGTAAACATGGAAGGTATGACCTAACCACGTGTGAAAAGGGATATTAGAACTTTTTGCTAGTTTACTCACCTCTATAATTGCCATTCCAAAATCCCATGCCATAGTCATATATTCTCCACGTTTCTGGGAAATCCTCGAGACCGTCAATCTCAAGGAACGATGTGAAAAAGCCGATGGCTTGGTTTGATTTGTACATTTCCCTTAATATTTCTGGGTCTACAACTGGATTGGTGGATCCATCGTTTCTATACGCCCCGAGATGGAACTTCATATATTCCGCCATATCTTCAGCCGTTGTCATAGCTCCGAATGCTGGCGCTTTTAACTCACTGCAAATAAGTTAGGTTATAAATATCCGAGGCCGGTAATATATTAAATCTCTTGTCTTGTCGATCATATGGAGGTCCACAAAAAGTGGCAGCAGTGTTTATGAGAAAATATAGACCGAGGACCTTAACTGTAACCCTTCTGCTGACTTAGTAACCAATGCCCATGAGACTAATAATGAAACATTTGATTTGTATACAGGGTTGGCCAAAAATTATGCACAAAAAAATGAAACGTTTATTTCTCATTTTACAGTAATATATGATACATCATTGTGGAAATAATTTAAATTCTCATAATTTGCTGTTAATAATAATGCAGGATGAAACCGTTTGACTAAGTGCAGTAATGTTAAACAAAAATATGCTTACAATAAGTCATTATCGCCTACAGGTTCTATACGGCGAGTGACCTCCCCATCTTTTAAATAATAAGAATAGGCCCATTTGCCAAGGGAGTCATCTTGCATGCCAGCGTAGGATGGAAATGACGAGTTCATCTTCAATGGGCCATAGATGCGTTCATTCACTAATTGTGTATAAGGTTTACCCGTTAGATATTCAAGTATCACACCAGCAAGGAAATAATTTTCGTCAACATAGCAGAAACTTTCACGCAACGTCATCACTGGTTCACTGCATTGGACCACCCTAAAATTCAACGCACGGGTTATAGCAAATCGGCGGAGTTGACGGAATAGCATATCTTTTGAAGACTGCTGAGAGATCAATTGATTTAAACGTGGTTATAGAAAAGCATAATATAAAATCGACTAATGTGTATCAAATTAATTGATCCTTTGCCTTTTTAACTCATAATATAAACGCATTAATGAGTCTTGTTAAAATTACACCAACCCCATGGATTGTGTAACCAGAAGTCCCTATCTGGATCACATTACCGAGATCACGTGTAACAAAGCCAAGGAGTGAATTGAAGCCTGTTTATTTTTGACTATTTAAATAAATCAAAGTCACACGATAGTAATAATTTGCAGAACTATCGTAGTGAAGATAACAAGATAAATCAAACTTACTCGATAAACTCTTCCTTTGTACTGGAAGGCCCGTTTAATATCTCGGGAAAGCCAGTCACATGACCAAGCAAATCTCGCAACTTTAACGCCTTGTTCCTCACCTCATCTCGGAATCGAAAGGTCGGCAACAGATCTGTGATCAACGAGTCCCATGATATTCTACGAATAAAATAGCACAATTTTAATATTCAAGGCTCTTATTGTTAATCCTTTCAATATCAACTATACAGGGTTATCCTAAAATACAAGCCGTGAATAAATGTCTTTAGTTTCATATTATCGCATAAATCGTTCTTTTTCAAACAGGAAAATGAAGAATTATTATATGAATATAGCAATAAAATGCCAACTACTGTAGGAAAACTCTGAACACATAAACATTTTTTGAATTATCTCTATTTAAACTTTTGGTATATTCTAGATATACCAAAGAATATCTCTGCCCCCTCCCCCAAGCCATACCAAACTAGGAATTCAGAACACCCAACTGTTATTCCATAAAAATTTGCTTGGGTCGTCTGATTAAGGAGTGATCAGGCACTATTTTACATTTGGACGAATTTTAAAAGTTTGTTTAACAACTTTGAATAATTATAAAATGAAATATTTGCATTATACTGCTATACATTATTTTCATTATCGCAAATTGTTAATTTCATTTTGAAAATATGGTCTTCTGAATATGCATAGGTCATGTATTGTTTAATCAAAAAATAGCACCATATTTTTCATGCGTTTT